GGTAGGTAATGATACACCAGTGTATCACACCAGTGTAGGTAGTGATACACTAGGTAGGTAGTGTATCACTACCTACCTACGAGAATTCTTGTTGGCCATTTCTGTTCCTGCACGCATATTCCCAACACCTGTCTGAGTTGGGCTGTGCCCCCAGTGTTCGCAGGCAGAGGCTGCGCTTACCGTGACGGTTCTTTTGTCGTTTTCTGTCTTTGTTTTTTTGGGAAATGTCGTGGACGTTAAATGAGGTTTGGCGGGGTCTTTTCGGGGTTTAGAGAAAAGTGCAAAGGGTGCGGTCGCCACTAGGAGACGGACCGGTAGTGCGAGTGGTCATGGTAGGCTTTGGGTAGTGTACGTCCAGAGGTCGTTTCATTTGGTCGTTTGGCCTTGTGGTGGACGGCGGCCAATTTTCTTTTTGGGTGGAGGGTTGAGTCTTTTTTTGGTCTTTTGTTGGGGCTGTTGGGGGGTTCTTTTGTGGGGACTTGTAGAGAGAGATGGATAGGAAGTAGTAGTGGGGCACCATCAACAGAGATCGAAGACTCAAGTGATTTGGCCCCTTGAGTTGAAAGGACGTGGTTGTTCGCTATTTTCTTTTTTTTCTTCTGAATCTTTATGAATTCTTTTTTCTTTTTTCTGAATCTTTATTTTGGAACACGTCTAGATTCTGCGAACTCAGGCTGCCTTTAGCTAGCAGTTCAGTCAGGGCCCTCGTCCATCCACGAAAAGCAGATAAAAAAAAAAAAAAACATCCCTTATATTGTGATTACGGTCCGATACAGGATATTACAGTACTTCTCTGGAACTGAAAAGTGAGACAGTTAGCTGCCTCGCCTGGAATCCGCCCTGCCTGGCGGGCAGGGGGCTACAAGGACCTCACAACAAGAAACAAAAAAGAAAAACGACCTATTTCATATTCCTCACTTCCTGGCCAGATACATTCCTCAAAGCACTGGTGAAGTGAGGGCCGTAGGTGTATTGGAAGTTCCTCTTTTCTTTACTTTTTTAATTTTTTTTTTATTTTTTTTTTTTTCGGCCTCCATCCCTGCCCCGGGGCCAAGTCCCACTAGCAGCGTTGAGCTACCTCAACGCCTAAATCTGAACGTGTTTGTGAAGACGTGCAGTTCAGGAAACTCAACACCATTTCTGCACATCCTCGCAAAAACGTTCAGATTCGGGCGTTGAGGTAGCTCAACGCTGCTAGTGGGACTTGGCCCCCGAGCCCCCCACTTCTTCCGAGTAGGCTACTTTTGAGACTTCGCTTTTGCCTATGAAGGGTAGTGCCTGCGAATCTGAGCTGTGGCCGAGACATCTCGGTCGTGGCCAATCTGGGGTCTGGTCGAGACATCTCGGGCGTGGCCAGTCTGGGGTGTGGCCGAGACATCTCGGTCGAGGCCACTCTGGGGTGTGGCCGAGACATCTCGCCAGTGGCGTTGCAGCATGCGACCGAAAAAAAAAAAAAAAAAAAAAAAAAAAAAAACCCAAAAAATAAA